GGGTTAACGGGTGCATAACAGAAATAATAATATTTATAACTAAAAAACTAATCAGAAGTTCTAAATCTAATGGCTATGGTTTTACCGCATAGACCACCCAATTAATCCTCATTTTTTTTGTTATTCACCTAATTAATTAATCCTTATTTTGTTCATTAACATACGTTATATGTTATGCAGGTTTAAATCTGAGTAATCGAGCTCAGAATCTCTACAAGTTTACGTATTGAGATCCTAGGTTGATAAGATTTAGAGTCTTTCAATAATGAGTATAGTATATGGCCCTCCTTGCATACTAGACACGATCCCAACTTATTACCAATGAAAGATTCTTTAACACGTTCAGAAAATTTGCGTTTACAATTTCAAACAAAGTTTTAAACTACTTTAAACATTTATGTGATTCTCAACGCAATAAACCATTTACGAGAAAATGTTTTGTAGTGGACTACCCCAACCCTTAAGTACCATTTTGGTATTGGCGCATGATCAAATACCAAATCATACAATGATATGTAACGAAAGATAATCATTTTAGACTTTTTTCTTTAACTAGTAATTAACTCCCGAATGCATTATTGTCTTAGTGATCTATCAAACTGCTTTTCTCTAACTCTTTCTTAGCGAAGAAATGTCCATTTTATTTACGCTATAGGATACGTCAAAACTGCACGTAAACAACAACTTGCTATATTATCTGGTGCCCGTTACCTCTTAAAGCTTTAACGTGTAAGATCATATATACCGCGTAAATGCGTAACTTAAAGCTTTAACGTGTAAGAACAACAACTCGGGACTATGATTTTGTTGTTGTTAATTAACGTTTGAATATACCCGACTAGTTTGAAATTTTTTCTGCAAGCTAAACTTGATTTGATTGGTATACTCATTTGTACAACGAAAAGATCACGAAAAAAAAAAAGAGAGAGTAAAGAATTGTAATATGGTATATTCATCTCGTTATATAACATGATTCCAAGAATTAGTATACCCTATAAATTACACATTTTTTCATATCAAATTTTCTATATATAGCGATTAGTCTCATATTTTAAGGTTGTCTAGATTCATAAGATTTACAAAAGAAAAAGGACCTAGCACAATAATGGAGATGAATTATTAGAGAGGGAGCAGTTGAAAGTTGTAAAATTTGAAACCAACTCTTTATCGCATTTGTGTCATCTCTAGATTCTCCTCACGCGTATCCTAGTTTCAGAATTGAAGACTTTCCTCTAATTTCGTTAATGCAATTCGTAGTACATATATATAGTAGTGACATAATAAAATTAGTGGTGAGAAAAAATGTATGTTTGGTTAATGTATAATCCTACTCGATTCTTTAGACTATTCGAGTAATAATTATGTATATTACTGGATTCTCTAGGTTTATGTTTTGATAAAATAATGTTTAATTTTATGCATATAGCCTATAGGGGGACACAAGGAACTCGAACTGGTGCCTCTATGGGCTATACCATGTTATTTTTAAAAATCATTCTAATGTTTTGAAAGTTATTAATATTATTATTAATCACTTAGCTTCTTTTTTTTTTTGAGAAACTAATCACTTCGTTTTCAAAACAAAACTATTATGTAATTGACATGTAAGTAAATAATTGGGACTTGGAGGGTTATAAATGTCAAGCAAATCCTTTATAAATTGCCGAGATTGTCGATTAATGCACACAAAAGAAGAGTGTAAAGAGAGAGAGAGTCTCTTAGCTCGTGGTTGAGTCATGCAGATCAAAAGG